CAGTTTCCCACAGAGTGTTTCTATTAACTGGCGTTGCCTGTTGAAGTAAGTTTGGGAAACTAGAGCTTCAACAGAATTGGAGGTTGGGCCTTGGTTTTTGGCTATTGTTTTTCTCTAGAACCTTCTTAGACCCTTAAGTAGGCTAAGAGGTGTGATGGATCTCTAGGAAGGGGCTGTAAGGGGCAGCTTTTCTCAAGGTGATTTGCCTGAGTAACATTAGTTAACAGGACCACATGCGGGGGGCTGCTTTGCAGGGTCTGGAGAAGTAGGCGGCTGTCCACCCCCCCCCCATCCCGTTACATCGCAGACACTTCCGTTGTGTCTTCGAGTGCCCAGGCAGCGGGCTGCAGCGCTGCTGCTCTGTCTTCCTATCTCCGGCCTTTCCCATCTGTCAGAAGGCTGGTTCTCTCCTCCCCCTGTGAGATCTGCCGCTCATCTCACTGTCTCTGCTGGGGTAGCTTTGCTTCTAGCACCTCAGCTTCCCACATTGGCCTCTCTTCTGAAAGTTTCCTTTTTTTCTTTTTTTCAACTACTTTTCTCTGTCCTTTCTTCCTTTTTATAGTCAACTGTTTCTCTCGTGGTTCCTGGCCTTCATGTGAAAAGACTGATCTTTTGTATACCATAGCTGCCAATCAGGATGTTTCTTCCTTCTGGTTGGCAGGCTAACCATAAATAATACAGCCGGTCAATTCTTTGGATCTTGAGTTAACTCCTTATGTTATTATTGAGCTGTCAGTAGCAGGGGGTTTTCTGTTTTTTTGTTTTATTTCCATCAAAATCTGTGTTTTGGTTCATTGGTTTGCCTTCCTTTGGAGACGTTGATTTACGTGATGATGTTAGAAAGCTGATTTCCTGAGAATCAAAGTTTTACTGTACCAAGAAGTGTAAAACATAGCTATGCCACCATGGATCTTATAGTCATCTCCAGTTGTTACTAACGTGAAGAGTTGTGTCTTAGATATGTGTTTCTATTTGTTTGAAATGATCAGGCAGCTGATTCACTTGATTCTGATGACATCCTTGTTAAGGACCCTGATCGTTATATTACATACTGTCTTTCTGATGAGGACCTGGGGAAAAAAACTTCATTATGCTTTGACTTATTAGGATTAGTTGTATTTCTGCTGAACAATTTGTATGCATCTCTTAGACACTGCATGTCTTGTAATTACCACGTCTTCCACTTGACATTGGCCTTGTAAATGTTGTGACAACATGAAACAAGTATGTATTAGCCTATTTCTGGTTTCATTTTAAGTGCTGTTCTGTGTTTCCTCTTTTCTTTCTTACCTACTTTTAATTTAGTTTTAAGTGTCCTTGTAAAATGCCTGAAACAAAAATGTAGTTAACTCTTGGATTGTCACTCACGTGTACTTTTGCCGTTATTTGTCTGGAGGCTCAGCCTTTGCAGCTAAGTACTTAATGATGATTTCAGAGAAGTGCTTTAAATAATTGCCTTGCTGAATAACTGATCTACTGGTGCTTCACATTTATGTTGAGACATGTCAATAATTTAAATGGTTACTGCTTAAATCCAGGCTAATTAAAACTATCATTCTTTTTTTTCTTTATGAAAATTAAGGCCTGTGAATTGGAACATGGTTTTCTGGTTTATCTGAGTTCCACCATTGTTACTCAGACTCTAACACTGGGCAAGTAAGAGTTTTATTAGTACCGAGCTTATAGTGTTCATAGAAATAATTTATTAGAATGCTTTAAAAGGCAAAATCTATGACAGTATTTTTGGATGTGAGTTTGTTAGACAAGGTCTGAGCCAATATGTAGTTGTTGGTTTTTATTTTTCAGTGCCAAGTATAAATAAGCCACCTCTGATACTTTGTATCATGCTTGCCATATTCCTTCATCATCAGCAATCATCAACTACTGTTGTTAATATTAATCTCGTGATTACCAAGTAAGAGACGCTGTTCTAAGCACATTAGGGGGATTACCCCATTTAATCTTTACAGCTGCCCTACAAAAAACATACTATTTTTAGAAACAGGGAAAGTAAGACCCAGTGACGTTAAGAAACCTGTCAAAGTTTGCATGACTAGTAAGTGGTGGAGCCTACAATGTGAATGTTGGTACCTGACTTGAAAGCCTGTTTTCTTAACCATCATACTACTTCTGTATTGCTTCCCTTTAAATGCTCCTGTGTTGGATCCAAAGTGTTATGGCAGGTTGTTATAAAATGCCCTGCTGTGATTTCAGTGAGCTTTGTGTAATTTAACATGTTACTGTGTCCACTTAACTCCATATCAACATGGTTATAAAGTGTAAGGCTGGAGGTCAGGATTACATAATGGTTGGCATGGGATTTTCCCAACCAGATAAGACTTTCCAGAAGAATTTTCACCAAATGACTAAGGCTAGGCTGACATTTCAGAGCAATAGTAACAGTTTGGTTTCTCTTCTCATCGTTCTGATGGTTTGGGGTCAGAAGATCAGACCAGGTTGAATTCAATGATAGGATACTCCATGGATAGAAAAATCATTATTACTGAGGATGTTTGGATTACTGCATATGTTTTTAAAGAAATTCTTGACAGAGTAAGCACCTTGGCACACCGCGTGTCACTTGGCAAGCACTCAGTAACTGTTTGTTGACCTTAACGAAAGTTAAGCAGAAAAGTAGTCCCAATGTTCCTTTGACACAGGCAGTTAGCTCCCTGGGCCTGCTTCCTCAAGTTGTAAAATGAGGAATTGGGATTAAATCCTTTCGACTCTAAACGTCTAGTCACATGGAGAGTAAAGCATCTGGTTTAAATCATGTTTTTCTCTTACTCTTCCAGTTGGAACAGATGGATTTGGAAGTCCGAGAGATACCGCCCCAAAGTCGAGGAATGTACAGCAACAGGATGAGAAGCTACAAGCAAGAAATGGGAAAACTTGAGACAGATTTTGTGAGTCAGATTCCATCCTATGTCATACTTACAATCTTTAGACTGACTTTCACTTCTGTTTTTTATTGTTTCCCTCTCATGCCTCGGTCTGCAATAAGTGCCAAAGACAAGCAACCACTTTCATTGTTATGAGTTGGGGATCTAAAAATGCTTAGAGAGCTAGCTCATGGTAGACTTGAAGGTATGTTGGATTCATGACTCACAAAATAGATCCAAATCATGTGGGTTTTTTTTTTTTTGAGTTTGGATAGTATTTGTTGGTATCTAGCATTTATTAGAATTTTGAAATCTTACTTGGGGATGCACTGCTCATGAGGTTCTGAACTTATATCAGTGTTTTGGATGCGCACCTCTTTGTGCGTTTTTTTCTGGGACAGGCTCCATAGCCTTTGTTATCTGAATCTTAGAAGGGTGCATCCCACTCCTCCCCACCAGAAGACAGAGGGAACTCGATAATTCATACACGTGATCCTTTGTATTGATTGTCTCATGAGAATATTTAGCTTTCTCTTCCCATATATCTGACTTTCAACTCCACCCACTTTATAGCAAATTTAAGAATGTAAATTTAAAGACGTAATGTTAAATTGTTAGTAATTAGAAGTAATAGGAGTGGAAATGATACAGGTGAGCAGTTTCACTTTCTGGTAAATATCCAGAAGAACAGAAAGCAGGATACCTGTACCTGTACCCCTTGATCACAGCAGCTTTATTTGCAATACCAAAAGATGGAAGCAACCTAAGTGTCCATCCACGGATGAACGGATAAACAAAGGGTGGTGTGTACGTGCAATGGAATATTGTACAGCCTTAAAATTGGAGGAAGTTCTGACTTACGCTATGACGTGGATAAACCTTGAGAACATTAGGCTAAGTGAAATAAGCCAGTCACACACGGATGCTGTATGTTCCCACTTATATGAGGTACTTAAAGTAGTTACCCTTATAGAAAATAGATTGTTGGTCACCTAGGGCTGGAGGGAGGGAGGGAAATGGGCAGCTACTGTTTAATGGGTATAGAGTTTCAGTTTTGCAAGATGAAAAGTTGTACAGATTGGTTGCTCAACAATGTGAATATATTTAACCCTATTGAACTGTATATTTAAAATTGGTTAAGGTGGTAAATTTTATATGATGTGTATTTTACCACAATTAAAAATTAAAATAGAAAAAATGCAGATGGGGAAAGATCTGAGCTTTACCTGTGAGTGACAGGAGTCAGGTGTTGGCATGTAAATTTATAAGGATCTTTCTGCCTCTGTTCCTTCCTTAGGTGTTTTACTTTTGCTACATCTCCTAGACTACAATATACCTTTCCATGACAAGGCCAGTGGTACTGATTCTGATAGAAATTCCACCTAGAGTCTGGAAATGGGGTGATTTGCAGCTTTGCGTATTTATTCTGTATTCTAATAGGTATTTTCCTGAGAAACTGAGATGGGCTACATCAGTGACTCTGATGCAGTTGACTTTTAAGTTGTGTTCCTAGTAATTTAAAAGAAAAATTGGAATCCATAATGGGCCTAAATTCAGAAAACAAATGTAATCACCTAGTTTCTGTGCTATGCATGAGATGAAACCCTCTCACTGCTTTGGGAAAGGCAGGTTCTCTCAGCAAGAGTGAGCGATATGGTGAAGAAATTGGATTGATTTCAGAATTTGACAACTCAAATTTATACTTAGACAATTCTAATTAAAGTTAATGTTTTAATATAAATGATGAAAGTAAATTAAAATATTTATAAGGATTATTTTGGCTTGCTTACCTCATCTTTATGAAACTCTTTTCCGGAGATTTTACTCTTGGTTTCTAAAACAACTAAGCATGTGAGCCCGCTTAGGGCTGCTATGACAAGGTGCTACAGACTAGACGGCTTAACAAAAATTTATCTTCTTTTTTTTTCGGAGGGGGCATGGTTAATTAGGTGTTTGTTTGTTTGTTGATTTAATGGAGGTAGTGGGGATTGAACCCAGGACCTTGTGCATGCTAGGTGCGTACTCTACCACTGAGCTGTACCCTCCCCCAAAATGTATCTTCTTGAAATTCTAGAGGCTGGAAGTCTGAGATCGAGGTGTTGACAGGGTTTGTTTCTTACAAGGCCTCTCTCCATGGCTTGGAGATGACCATCTTCTCCTCGTTTCTTCATATACTCTTTATATGTTGTGTTCTAATTTCTTCTTCTTATAAGGAAACCAGTCACAATGGATTAAGGTTCACCCTAATGACTTCATTTTAACTGTTTAAAGACTCCATCCCACATCCAGTCACGTTCTGAGGTATTAAGGGTTAGGATTTTAACACATGAATTGGGGTGGGGGTTGGGGGAAGAGGGGAAATGAAACAATTCAGCCTATAACGCTGAATTTACTTTTAATCTTTTCTTCTTAAATATTTTTTTCAGAAATTAAATTGCTTCTGTGGCTTATAAGTCAGCTAACCCAATCTTAAGTCTTTTTTGTTTCCTGAAGAATGTAGTCTTGAGTAGAGTTCCTTTAGGTATTTAGATATCATGTACTTGGATAAGCATTTCTCAGGTTCTGTTATGTTTTCTGTTATAAAGAAAAATAGAGCCAGCAACTATGAACTAAACATTTATTCTCCAGGCTGTTGTTAAAAATTCACGTGTTATGTGTATATTTACTCACACAGCTTCCTTTTCTTGTTCCTTCCTCCTCCTCCTCTGCCTCTCCTTCAGATACCTGGATTCTTCAGACTTACTCCACTGTCTTACCCCTTGTGTTATCATCCATTCCTGCGGCTACAGTGACCACCGCTATGCTAATGTGCGTTTCTCACTCAGACTCCCCTGAGGCTCTAAATCCATATTTCTCACTACTTACTAGACACTTCCACCCCAGAGTCCTTTAAACACAAACACTTAGATTTGACAAGTCATTTCAGAGTCATCTTTAATCTTTCCCTTTCCACCGCCTGGCACATCCAGTTGGCCCCTGAGAGTTAACAGTACTGCCACTGAAATACCCCTTGCTTCCATCTCCCCTGCAGGGAGTCTTCACGTTTCTCAATCTGGGTGATGGTAGTAGCCTTTCTTCCTTCTATTCTTCTCCCACTCTAAACCTTCCTTTGTACCACTTTGGAATTATCTTATTAGCATCCTGATCTGAATATGTCACACTGTTCCACAAAATCCTACAGCGTTCTCATTGCCCGCTGCGCAAAATTCAGGTCAACTTCTAGGCTTTCTATTTTGTTCCATTGCTTCTTCACATGTCTAGTAATTTTATTAGTACATGCTTGATATTGTGGACCCTATGTTGTTCAAAGCCTAAATTTTGTTAGTTTACTTTAGAGCAGTGCATCTCAACCTTTTTTTTTCATTAGCATCTCACTGAGGAATTTTTTTCAGACTTCCCCCCTCCCCCAATTGCCCCTCTCTTCCCCAGGAAATTTATATACCATGGATCCACTGTGTATCTGTACATCTGTTTATGTACTATGGCTCTTTGGAGGCCATAGCAATATCTTTGTAATATCTAAAGTTCTTCATCCTCCCAAGAACCAGTTTTTTGCACCTGTGGGCATGATATCACCTCTGTTGACAATGCATATTTTAGAGAATGTTGAGCTTAAGTCGATAAGTAGATAATTTACTAGATCCTGTCAAGGCTTATTAACTTTGTTAGGACATGTCTAGAGTAGCCTGCATTTTACAGTATGGCCTTCCTTGGATTCCATTTGGATGACTAGAACATGCAGGGAATGTTTAACTCTCTGTGTGGGCAGAATTCTAGCTCCCTGCTTTAGGTGACCTCCAGAGTCTCTGTTCCCCTTCATGGCTCCTCAGTACATGTCCTCTGTAAGGCCTCTCACCTCTACATATGCAAGTACAGTTTCAGCCAAAGACTTACCAGGACCCCTTTATAGATTTCCGGAGCTCCTGGTCTATGTGGCTCCCTTCTCTCCATTACCTTGCTAAATTTCATCCATTCAGCAGTCCGCACCTCCAGGGTCTGCTCTGAAGCTCAGAGTCATGCTCCGCTCCATCTGGGCTCCACCCCCTGCTCTATAATCTGGATGGTGCCTCCAGGCTGAGAGCCATGGCCGCTGTAGGGTGCAAGTGTTTCTTTTCTCAAGGGATTTCAGTCCTACGCTGCCTATTGTCCCATTTTTGAAAATGATTGCTTCACACATTTTCTCCATTTTTATAGTTGTTTAGAGCAGGAAGGTTGGTCTTGTATCAGTTACTCTGTCATCACTGGCAAGAAAGTTCAGTATAGTTTGACGTTTGTTAATTCTTAGTGGATAATTGTGTACATCTAAGAATGAAAAAAATTATAGTCTTCTCTCTACAATGACCTGTCATAGAATTTAATTTGTAGCTGACTCAATACCTATTTAAAAGATTTTAAAATGTGTGTTGTGACCTGTAGTCATCGTTGCGGAAGGTAGTCAGCAGTCCTTGCTGTGTTCCCTTCTGTACTATCGCTGTTCTTGATGATTCTGTTCACCTGCCTAATTCCATTCTTCATGATTTTTGGCCTCCTAAAGCTTTGTGTCGTTCGTTTTGAATTCTCACAGTGTCAGAGTAAGTTAGGAATATTAGGTCCAAAGAAGCTGAAATCCAGTCACCTTATTTTTCAGACAAGGAAGGGAAGGACCAGGGGGACCAAATGACTTACCTTAAAGTCACACTGATGTTTAGAGCCAGGACCAGAATCAGATGAGCCAAACACACATTCAAATGTTCTCTCCATGATCCTTTGCAATTCCCTACCCCCAACTTCATGTTTCAATAAAAATCAATTTAATAGCCTCTTTCTGTATTTGAAAACAACTTAAAAAAATAGAATTCATGTATTTAAGCTGTCCTTATAATTTCTCCTTTCAGTATTGGTATGAGGTTAGCTAGGATGTGGTCATGCCCAGGAAAATGAACCAGCCAAAAGGGGGGAAACATAGTTGAGGATCTTTTCAAGTTTAAGATTATTGTTTGCTTCTTAGGAAAATAAAATCAATCAAACAAAATATCCCTGAAGTC